TGCCCAGGCCTAGTCTGTAGACCTGTGTGGGCACTCACCTGAGCACACCTGCACTAGAGAGCCCCAAAGGAAGGAGTAGTATAAAGGGAAAGAAAGGACACGTTTTGACTTTTGGTTGGATACAGGAGTTTTGATTCAAAATACAAAACAAAAACAGAAAGACCAAGAGAGAAGAAAGAAAATATTCTAATGAATATTATACACTAAATTCCGCACACAGACATTTTATGGCAGCTTTATTCATAATCACCGAGAAACTGGAAACAATCAAGATGTCCCTCAGTAAGTGCGTGGGTAAACAAATTGTGGTACATCCATGATGTTGGATACTATTCAGCAATAAAAGTGAGTATCAAGTTCATTCACAAAAAAGACATAGAGGAACTTTAAATGCACATTGCTAAGTGAAAGAAGCCAATCTGAAAAGGCTCCAAACTGCACGATTCCAACTAGTCTAAGATGTTCTGGAAAAGGCAAAACTGGGGAGACAGTAAAAGGATCAGTGGTCGGTGGGGGAGAGGGATGACGAGGTGGAGCACAGAGGATTTTAAGGACAGTGAAAGTATTTTGCGTGATACTAAAATGGTGGGTATGTGTCATTATGCATTTGTCAAAACCCACAGGATGGACAGCACCAAGACTGACCCCTAATGTAAACCATGTACTTGAGATAATGATAAGGTATCATCGACATTTGCTCATCAGTTGTAACAAATGTGCCATACCCATGCAGGATGTTAATAATTGGGGAAACCGTGTTTGGGGAAGGGAGGAAGAGGGTGTACATGGGAACACTGTGTACAACCAGCTCAATTTTTCTGTAAACCTCACAAGTCTACTAATTGGAAAATCAAACCCCCAAAATATATTATGAATAAAGAAATCATGCACTTAGCTACCCGAAAGGGGCCCTTGGCAGATAAAAGTTTGGGAAACTGCAAGAGCTAGCTCTTTTTCAAAGGCAACTGAGAGAAGATACAGATGACCCAAGTGTGAACCAGCGGGATGCCCCGAGATTAAAACAACCCTGACTGCTCACACCTGTCTCAGACCCAACAAAGCCCTTCCAGTCCCGCTTAGCAGTGCAGGGGTGTGGGGGAGAGGGGGAAGATCCGAATTCTTATTCAAAGAAATAACAATTTGGAACGTGCACAAGAGTGTCAACAAGTTATGTAGATCTTATCAGCATGGCATTTTTGGTGCCTCCCAGCTATCCGGCTGGGCTCCATCAGCCTGTTAACACCTTCCAGCTTCCTACGCACCATGAGCCTATCAACACCTCGGGAGGCTCTGCCCCAGCAAGGCCTGCCTCCCCAGCGCCCCAAGGAGCCCGAATTTTCTTTCTTTCCCTCTCCACTCTCGATCCCATCATACCATCCGCTCAGTATGCACGAGGACCTGCCGCCCTTCCTCTGCCAACTGCTGTGACTTAGCTGGGGCCAAACCATCTATGAAATTGAACACTAACTTTGAAAGAGTACTCAAGGTGGAAAATTCTGACATCCTCACACATGAAGGAAGAGAATGTATAGTTTCAGGAATGTGGGAAATGGTGCAAAGTCATCATTCAAGTATTTTAAGTGTGTGTGCGAGGTGTTTTTACCTTTGCAGATAAAACATCTCAATTTTGCAAAATTATGGAGAAAGGATAAGATGTGAGACTTGTGGAGATTTCTTTCTCCACCCCTGCTAAAAATAAAGTCAACAAAACTCCACTCCTCCTCTCATAGTTCTGGTCATGTATATACATTACTTCATGATAATGCTGCCTTTCAGATGTAATTTTGCTTAACGATACAAAAAGAAAAGGGCATTTATTTAGACTAATGAAAATGGCAGGCTTTGCATCTCGGCTTTCTTTTACAATTATCTGTTCATTACAGTAAAGTCAGTGAATGGCTCTCCTTGTTTGTTTTCTTTTTTAGGCAGCTTTAAGTGCCTTGAAACAATTTTCTGAACAAGGACTGGATCCAATCGATGGGGCAATGAATATTGAAAAAAGTTCTCTTGAAAAGTGAGTAAATCTTCTGTCAGCATTCTTACATTTATAATTGTATAAGTGTATGAAAGATAAGACAGATAATAATAAGATTTAAAAAATCAACACAATATCTACATCTTACAAAATTCTTCATAATACAATTACGAATTAAATATAAGTAAATGAAAAACAGCATATACAGTCATATCCTCCGACAATATGTCTGTGAAAGTTTTAACCTGCTAATTGATCGTGGTTTCTGCATTTTAATGCCTTTGTTGGAAGTATTTATGTGAGTTTTGTTGACTGTTGGTACTTGCAAAACTTGTAAAAGATTCTTTTTCGCTTCATACTGTTGAGCATTGAGTGGCTAAGCCATTTTCAGAGGTAGAAGCTTTCACTCACATTCCTGCTAAGCTGTGGGCAAAACAGAGAGAAAAGAGAAAAAGAAGTTGAGAGGAGGCATCCCTCCTCTTGGCCGCATTTGGTTTTTCACATTGTTATACGAAGCACCAGCACACATTGCCACAGGAGTGTGGCTCCCAAGGGCTACAAAGGCAAAAAGGTGCCTGTGACAATTATTTCTGAAATCCAGTTCATGCCTTTTTTTTAATGAGTTTTGAACACAAAAGCCTCATCTAAGAGACTGAATTTTGGGTCTCTCCAGAGACCTCGATCTACCCCAAAGAAAATGAAAGCAATTATATTTACATAGAATTCAAACTCTTTCAAAGCAGTGATAATAGCAGGTGAGATCTCAGAACACACATAGGAAATGTTATTTAAAGATTAAAAAAAAGAGAGAGAGAGAGAGATAACCCAGGAAGTGAAAAAAACTAGGTATACCAATCTGATCTCACAGTTAAATGAGTTTACCAAAATAAGTAAATAATTAATCAGAATTTTAGAAACTTAAAAAGCAGCATTTGGTCATTAATGTTTAAAAGGCGAGAGCGTGAGAAGAGAACATTTGGTAAACTAGACCTGGCATTTTTAAGTCGCCCTATAGATCGGCAACCATTTTATAAGCTAATTTAATCAAAACCATCTCCACATGATCTCATCAGTAGACTATCTGAGCATAAATATTGTTGTTTCACTTTAAAACGTCACTTTTGTGGTGACCTTTGAGTCCTATGTGCTATCTGCTAATAAACATGTCTGAAGATGTGCAACCCCAGACCCTCAGCTCTTGTTAATGTATTAATCTTCCAGACAAGCCAAGCAGCTGAGAGAGAAAGTGGAGGATGACCAGGCGCCCCCCGGCTCCATGGCTCAGGACTGCAAGAAATCAAGCCCCGTCTAGCAGCTCCCAGAACCCGCCGCCGCCACCGCATCCTTATAAACCTGTCAGCACGCATGAGGGTGTCCGTGTTCAGGGAAATGAATGACTAATACCATCATTTGAGAGTCTCATGTGAAGACAACACTATTCTAACACAAGAGATAATATACATGGTACTGTTTATTCAACTGGGGGAAAATAAAACTTTTGAGCATTTCCCTTGGAACTTGAGATCAGATCATAACTCATTTGCCCCGAGGCGGCAGAAATCTGATCCTGCTACTGGAGCTTAAAATAACAAGTAAAGAAAAGTGTTAGAAACAGAGCTAAAATTTTCAAATGATTAATAGAGAAGTTGGGTTTGGTTCCGTTGTTATGATTGTTTTGTCGTGGCACTTGTGTTCACTTATACTCTCTCTCTCTCTCTCTCTCTCATTTCAAATAATGCTTGACAATTCGCAAACTAACCAATGACGTGCTGTGGAATGTGATGGTCGTTGTCTTCATATAGAGTCACATGGTTTCTCTTTTTATGCAGATATTTGTAATCTTCATCCTATATCAATATGAATAACTTTAAGGTGCACTATGGAAAGATGTATGCAAACATGTTTTAAATCAGGTCAGGTATTTGATTAAAAATATCAACTCATGTTAGGAGCAAGTAGTTTCAATGTACTCCAGGAATTTCAAAACAAAACAAGACGAAGCAGTCGTGCGTTTTGAGCTCCATATACTCTTAGCAACTAAGGCGGCGTCTTGCCCCTACACATCATTTTCCTGGATCTCCCTCTGTCGTGGGAGTCGCATCCACCCCCATCCGTGTGTTGTAGCCACTCACGGTTTGCATCAAGAGTGTTTTTAGTAACTGCCTCTGGCCTTGGGACAGTGAGTAGGGGCAAAGTAACTAACGTCCGTGGCGGGCAGGGAAAGCCTGTTGGAGATGTTCATAGCCAGCCACGCTCTGGACCAGCATGTTGGAATCCAGTGCAGAGCAAATGCAGTAAAAATTTGATCGGTTTCTGTGTGAAGTGTTGTTATTGTTGTTCTTTCGTTCTATCACTCTCATCTTTGAAGTGTCACCTCAGTGAAACCCATCCGAAAGGCCACCACCCGGCCTAGTCATCCTGCCCGGCAGTGGGATTAGAGAGTGGACAGGGGACAGGCCGTATCTGCGAAACTGCAGAGCCGACTCCTGGGTGACTCCGGGGCCGGTCCCGGACCAGGGCCAACGTCATCTCATTGTTCAGCCTTTCTCCTTATTGATTTGCAAAGGTTGTGCAATGAGAAAACACTATATGGTCTAACTGCTCGCCCAACATGACAATAGGAATATAATTATGTAAGATTTCACAAGCAAAACCACCGCAAGTCATGATCCGGCTGACTCACACGCGACCGGACAATAAACAAACAGCAACATAAGGAAATAACTCTAGGGTTGTTTTTAATGGTTCCCATGTGGGAAGCCCGTCAGTGCTGGGAGGGCCGGGTGCCCCTGGAGGAAATAGGTTTTGTTACATAAAGCCGGTGCTTGTGAAAAGAGCAGCACATTTGCAAAGTCGGGGTTCACCAAGGTAAACCGGGAGGAACACAGAGACACAGAGGGCCCCAAACCGTCCTCTCAGGCCCTTTCTTCTGCAAGCCGTCACCACCTGAGGCTCTGGCCTCAGATGGGGCAGGGACCACTTCAGGCAGGATCACTGAAGTGGATCTTCAGTTTACCCGGAGCAATAAACATAGTCCCTCCTGCAAGGGACTCCAGCGAACTACGCCACGGCTGTCAGGCCTGTGGGAGAGCAGTGAGCTCGGGAAACAAACAAAGCTAATCAGTTCTCATGACCCAAGTATCTGAAGCATTTAAGTCTTGAGCCGTCTGACAGCATTCACCCTTCCAGCTGATAGATCCCTGAACACAATAGAGTAGTGGGAGTGGAGGTGGGGGGGACAGATATTTGTATAGGATCTCAGGTTTAGGGAGAGATGATTGATTCAAAATTCCATCCCCTCTACCTGCCTGAAGACCTTCAGATATTTTCTCCGGAACAGCAGCACTTCCTGGGAACCGGCTGGGCTTTCTTGGGGTTGAATTGCTGATGCAAATGATGGGTGGCCTGCAGTCCCTGGCAGGGACCCACTGCAGTGCTCGGTTCCAAAGCGCAGCGTTATATATCATCAGAGGGGAAACTATTAAGTAGATTTATTGAAAGTATGTTTCTTCGGCACAAGAAGATCTTTTTGATGAAAAATGGAACTCATTATTCTTTAAAGGACACAGATTGACTTATCTCCTTTATCAATTACAGTGTCTGCTTTCAGCTTTTCTCCATCAGCCCTGGGCTTTGTAGTCACTTCCCAGTGCTGAGGCCAATGTGTTTTATGAAAAAGGTTTATTTTTACATTTTAATTGGAAATATAATATTGCACTTTGGAACCCTGACCATCCTTTCCAGTGCAACGTGCCAAAGATCAGTAGTGAGACGCCACTGACGAGGCTGTGTGACAGGTTCCTCCCTTTCCTGGGGTGACTCCTCCGAGGAGTTGTCCTAGCATTCCTCTCCCCAGCGAACATTCTTCAGAGTAATTTTTTTTTTTTTTGGACAGCTTCAACCAATTTCCTGTACTATAAAATAAAAATAGATTAATGAAAAACCTACCTTATCATACGGAGGTTTTCAGGATTCCTAGTGACTTTAGAAATGTGGTCCAGACCGACTGATTAGTGTTTAAATCCTGCTGCAGGTTATTACTGTAGCTATGGGAGACTGCTTTGTACCTTTTAGTTTCTGAAGGCTACTTGCTACCATTACGGCCAAGGATGATAGAGAACCTAACAGTTTTGCACACAGAGCTGATAAGTCATTAAAGGCATAATAATCATGTGTGAACTTGTCTTCGAGTCTCCCATAGCCTGACTCACCATAATCTGATAAATGTGTAAGTCATACATTGACTACATGGAAAATGAATGATCTATCCTTCAACACCCACTGAGAAAATCATCTCTAATTCTCACTGCCTACATGACAAATACAGGCACTCATGATAATCTATGGCATTACTGTTGACAAGATATTATACCCTCAACCCCAAGGGGGACTGTGGCATTTCTTAATCAAGAACACGGCAAGTCCAAAAACCCCTTCACTTCAGAGGTCAATGGACCCATGGGACCATCCTTCCCCCATCTTCTCATATCTGTTTATTTTCCTTCCATAGGCTAGCAGATTCAATTCTAATCCCCACCCCCAGATACATTCCACTATTTCCACAATCACATGTGCATGTCTTCATGAGAAGGGACTTTGTAATGCCTGCAAATTCAAAGCAAAGACTTCCTTAGACCTGATCAAACCCAACTGTCTATTTTTGGCACACACCACCCAAGTTCCATCTCCACCTTGCCAGAATTCGTTTAAAAGTCACTGTGTTGAGGAAGCTTTCCTGTTCCACGCTAACCTCTTCACCTGAGTAAGAGTTCTCTTAACTGTATCCATCCCCAACACAATCTGATGTGTGTGTGCTGGAAATTCAGGAAATAGAAAGCAAACAAAACAACTTTACCATAAAGAACACGTACTCAAGCTAGTGGGAAGGACAGACCGAGGACATGAGCCTGGATGACTGGATGTTCCCTACTCAGAACCACTGGGTTGTAGCCAGTTGTTCACCTACTTGACTCCTTCAGTCAGTCACTTATTCACTCTCTCACTCATCCTACTGTGATTGGGGCACTGTGCTATGTATTCTGGTGACACTGTCAAATAAGCCAGGCCTGCTTTTAAGGAACTTTCACTCTAGTAGTATGTCTTATCTTACTGCCATCCACGGACCCCAAACGTCCACTGACTCCCCTCCCCACAATAACACACACTAGGCTTAACGCTCTTTACACTCACCCACACTCAGGAGGCCATCAGTCCAATTCGTTCTTCACTGTATCTCCTGACCCAGGAGCAGTGCTCACCTTAATACGGTAAGTACTCAGGATATATTTGTTGACTAGATGAATGACCTGAAAATCTGTCACGATAAATTTGCCCATCTAATTGCATCAGCAGTGACCTGGACCCATGGACAGAGAAGTCTGGCCTCCTGGGTGGAGCCTCCTGCCTGGGAATAAACTTCTAGTTCTAGTCCTGTCAGCTTGCAGCCTATTGAAGTCATTTAACATCTTTGAGTTTCAACTTTTCATGCAAAACTGGGAATAAGAATATGCAGGAGTATATGGACTATTTATTTTTATTTTTAATTTTTTTTTTTTTAGAAATGGGCCTTCACTATGTCACCCAGATTGGATTCAAACTGAGGTTCAAGTGCTCCTCCTGCCTCAACCTCCTGAGTTGTGGGACTACAGGCATGCACCACCACCCCAGGCTAGTTTTTAAAAATTTTTAAAGGTGGGGTCTCACTGTGTGGCCCAGGCTGGTCTTGAACTCCGGCCACAAGCAATCATCCCGCATTGGCCTTCCAAATAGCTGGGACTACAAGCATGTGCCACTATGTCTGGCTATGGACTATTTTTAAAAGTGCACAAGTTATGAAAGTTATTTTAATCAAAGTTAGTGAGTATTAAGGAAGGGGCAACAGTCTAGGAGTCAAGAGTCCAGGCACCTGGTTCAGACACCCTTAGTGATGGGTGTAGCCTTCCAGGTCTCAGTTTCCACATGTATAAAATGCCCCTAAGAGCACTACAGCACTAAATTTATCTTTATATTAGTACCCCTATTAGTGGTATGCTTATATTCACATTTTGTCTCTAATATATGTGAATTTTTTTACCAAATACCTGGAAGGAAAATATCACTCTTACATCAATTAGGATTGTTTTTGTTGCTAGTTATAAAAACTAATTCAAACCAGCAATGGGAAATTTGCTATAAAGCTAGAGGATGTTTCATGTAACTTAAGGGCAGAAATGCAGAAAGGAACTGGAGCCAGGAAGTTCTCCCTCTCTCTTAATGCACCCCCCTTCTCTCTCTATCTCTTTCTGCAAGCTAGTGTTTGCTTCTGAAGTACGCACGTCAGAGAACATGGTTACTGATAGAACTCAAAGTGTACAGCCACCTGAAGAAACACTGAATCTCCCTTTTGATTTCCTTCCCAAAGTCCTGGAAAGGAACCCCAGATCGACCCACCTGGGACCAGGTGCCGTACACACAGGCTCACGGTGTACAAATATGGCCGCCCCAGCCTACCTTGTGGAGCAGACTGGTGTGGTCATCTGAGAAGAGATGATCACTGTTTTCCCCAATAGATACCTGCCTCCCCTACCTCCCACATTTTTCAGGGGACAAGGCTCATTATAATCATGTGCTAGTTCTTTCTTTCAACATAAACAGTGAAGCTTAAATAACAGAGTTACTGCTCCCAAACATTGTAGATTGCGCTCAGGTCTGCGAAGCCTGGAGTATTTTGTCTGGTTTTATTTAATCCTTTAGTCTTTAGTTTCAAGGTCTGATGAACCACAAAGCTATCCTGAATGAGTCATAAAACGACCCAGAATAAATAATAAAAATGTTCCAGTGATCTCAAATTAGTATATTTTCAAAAAGACGCCTTCCCTTCAGCACGCAGGGACAATGAGAAACGTAGGCGGCAGCGTGGTCCTCCTGCCTCAGTGATCCTGCAGCCGCGTTTCTGCTTTTGTTATCCTGAGCAGATTTTAACTATAAGGAATTTTCTGATTCTTATGACTGAGGTCAGGAGAGACAATGGCAATCTAGATAGAATCTTCCTTCAAACTTTGCTCATAATTTCTCAAGAGAGCCCGAAGCAGAAAGGAAATGTTATTTGAGGGAATGAGAGGAGGCAGACAAAAGAAAAAAAGCAGAAATCTGGATTGAAAACTAAAGTGGATGAGGAAATGAAGCTGCTCTGGAGAAGAATGATGAAGTGGGATGCTCTGGAGAAGGCATTTGTGATGGGAACAAAGTGTTCCCTGCAGGTAAGTCTTTAAATGCCTTCTCCTTAGCTTCAGGAATGAGCAGTCAAAATCTTCCATTTCCTCTTCAGCCTGTCCCCAAATCTT